CCACCAAACAGAACAGCTCTAGTGTTGTTGATCTTTTCAATGATGAAGTGACTAGCAGGTGGTATACACTGACCAATGATTGAAGGATTACTCCATTTTCCTAAATTAAAATTACTAAAAATAATCCTCAAGTAAAATAATAATATTTTACTTGATGATATATTATATATTGAGTGCTCATTAGTACACCAGTTTCCATTAGCATATTTATAATGAGGTAGTTGTACAGCTGGTTTAGATCCTAGTCCTCCTATCGTTAGTAAATGGTGTACTCCATCATGTTCAAATGATATCATTCCACCACTCTCTCTCCTCATAACTGGTCTAGTTGCATCAGTTGGTTCTAATTCTCTCCATTGAAGACTAACGGTATCCAGTTGTGTAATACTGTTGTGATAGCAGTTGTCATGGCTACACCGTCCCCCAAAATAATACAATAGATCATTTATTGCAGTACAGCAGTATCCGTCCACTCCTAATGGAGGAGTACCAGTAGTACCTCTAGTGATCCATTGACCAGTTGAAGGAGTAAAGTGCTGTATATTACTAGTGAACCTTCTCTTCTCTTCACTATCATGTACTAGAGGTAAACCAGCCTGAGCACCACCCCACACATACAGTGAATCACCTACTGATACAGTGCGGTGAAAGACTCTTACATTCAGTTGATCTATATATCAATGATTGACAGTACATGATCACTGGAATAGTAACAATAGGACTTACTTTTAGAAGCCATATTAAACCAAGGGCCAGGGGCCGGTGCATCACGTGATACACTACCACCCACGCAATACCAATGAAAAATTTAAATAATGAATAATAAAAATTAGCTCAGTTCAAAGCCAGATCCAGAAGATATAGCATACACCAGTTTATCTCTCAGAGTGTCCTTATTATCAAACAATGGGAGCTTCAGTAAGTGCATACAAGTACTAGCTGATGGAAGGTGGTCAGTTTCACGACCTGACAGTATCGTAAAGGGAGGGTGGAGTTCTGAGAACCCCAGGAGGGGGGCCCGACTACATGAAGTCACAAATTTAATCAGATCCTGTTTCTCTTTTTCACTGAATTCTCTCACGACATCCCAAAATAATTTAATGGTATCATGATCCTCAGAATATTCACCTACAGAGATGATATAGATTTGAATAAATATTAATACACTCAACTCATTAAAAGAGAACCTTTTAAAATGATCATAACTCAAAATATGTAGATCAAAATATTCTTAAACATTACTATTACTACAGAAGACAAGGAGATTGGTGTATATTGGTATATGATCATAAGTCATCATTCCCACCTACTGTACTACCAGTCTATAGCATAC